AAAAAAACCTCGCCCTTAGCTGGATTTATTCCCAATGAAGTAAATAGCGATTTTTTTTTTCTGGGAAAAGCAGCAGTGATCTTGTATTCTGACAGATTCGAGTGTGTCTACTGTTGTGCAACATACTCTTTCAACCTTTAACTGCCTGATCTTGGGATTTATCAAAGCCTCCTGTTTTTTCTCTGCTACTGTTGCTTTTTGTCAGCCTCAAGTACAGGTTCTCTGAAGATAATCCATAGTAATTTCTGTGCAGACTAGTTGCTTTCTGTACCCTGTATGTTGCCATATGCTTTGTGCCCTAAGAGTACCTGTTTTTATTTAATGCAAATAAAACTTGGTTTTCTTACATAATTTTCTATAAGCTTGTTTGGTGATAAAAACACTCCAGTTGCAGCCGGTACGTTACTCTAATCTTGTCTTCTGTTTCTGAGCTTCCTTTCTTCTTGCTGTCCTCTTGCGCTTCTGCTTGAGAAGTGTGCTCAGCATAAAACCTTGAGGTCTGGAGGTGACAGAAGGTCTAAGGCTGGGTCAGGTGTGACACACATAGCACCTCATACTGGGCGGGTGGGGGGCCGGGAGTCTTGTTTCAATGGGAAGTCAAATCCGTGCATTTGTCTTACTTTAATGCAGATGATTTTAGTATTCTTTCAGGTGCTGGCAGTCCACTTCAATATTGATGTATTGGGGGAATTAGTCTCGATGTGCAGGTTTTTAGGGAATATGCCATATTTTATCCAGGAGCTATTTAAAAAAAAAAAAGGGGGGGGGGATGGGGAAGGTACCATCTGTCCCTGCAGATAAACTCGATGTGACTTTCCTACTAGATTCTGCTGTTTGGAGTGAAGAAGAGAATGCCTGGGCTATCTTTAACTCTGCATAGACAGTTTCACAAGTTGCTCTAGAGACCGTCTTTAGTTACCTAAAACACTGGCTTCTGAAATAGAACTTGGAATAACAGCTGTTCTCGACTCTGGCTAAACAGAGGAAGGAGCGTATTGTTAACAGGCAGAGGTAGGGAGATAGCACTGCCATTTGAGTCATTAAAAAAATAATTAGACCGTGAGTGGTTTAGTACATATTCACTACAACTTCTAACAGTTAGAAAAATGCAGACCAGATCCTGGAAAACCTAAGTAGGAGAGAGCGTAAATACGCAGGAGCATGTGCTTTGAGTGTTTTGTTGTGGGTTTTCTTAATGCATTTCCAATAGTTCTCATGAACTTAACAGCCAGAAATATCTTTTGGGTTTGTAGGGATCCAATTTCCTAACGGAAACAGCAATCTACATTTTATTGAATTTCGTAGTCTGGTAACCACCACATCTTTGCCTATTCGTTCAACTACACAAGAAACACAGTCAGCAAAACGGGAAGTTGGATGTTTGTGAAAGCAATGCAGTCGTGGTTATCTTTCAGCGTGGGAGTGGTGTATGTGGACATTGAAAAAGGGTAGTCTGGGGTAAGGAAAATGTTTATTTTTTTTTAATTTTAGCCTCATTGTAGGTTTTATGACATACTAGGGCAGGTTTGGGGAGGTGAGAGCAAGGAATTACTCATAATCAATGTGTGAAGGTAACTATGAGAATATGTTGAACAAGAAAACACTTCTGCTTCTCAGGATTATCTGCATTATGCTGGGGATGCTCTCCCATATCCCAGTTTCCCTTTTAACAAAAGCTCCCCTTCGCAGTTTCTGCCAAGACTCGCTCATACTTTGCGAAGTGCTCCTGTTAAGCAGTTACTTCGGAGCAGCAGCGGAAGAGGGGTAAAACCAGCAAATGGACGTTTAGTTCTGTAAAACTTCTAAATGTTCTCGTGCTTGGGGAGAATAGTTTGTACAGCGTCTGCAATGGAAATGGCTTTCAGTAGAGACTTTGTGGAGAGGACTTTCTGACAAGTTATTTTAGAGCTTTTAAACAGCCTGGGAAGGGGGCGAAGGCATTTCGAGAGGCTGTGGTGGATGCAGAGGGGTGAAGGGCCGTTAGCTGTGGGGGGCAGGGACCTGCCGAGTGGGTGGTGGAAGGCATTGCTGGTGTCCGTGACAGGGATTTTGAATTTGGGTAGCAGAAGCTATGAAAGCTTTGGGGGTTTAATCTAAACACACGCACATATAACTTTTTTTAATACATGTATGTTTTTTTCATCAGCATGTTATTACGGGATATCCTTAAGTAAATGAAGAGAATGCAGAGTCAGTAACAATAGAAATAGCTGGGTATAGCTCCCTCCATAAGAATAAGCCACGATGCTGTGTCTATCGAAAAAACTCAACTTGTATTGCAATTTCTACTTTTTATACCAAGTCTTTCCATTACCGAGTTGTCATGCATAAATTTTATTATATTGTGGATTTGTTTAGCATAGTTATTCCAATAAAGGTGATATCTGAATTGGACTCACTGGAAAAATGTGATGGATTTACTATACCAGTAGTTTGCAGTAGGTGAAGGCTTCTTAGATAAATATATGCATGTTTTGTTGACTTTCTGAGCGTGGTAGTGTGGAGAAGGCTGCTATGGCCAGACAACATAACAGCACTGAAAGCCAGGAGAAAATTTTGTGAGTACCTTCTGAAGAAGTGACGGCTGAAAAGAGCGAGCAGAGATGCATAGGATAGGAAGCATGGAGTTGAAGTCTGTGGGAAGGAGAGCAAAGTCTGACTTAAATGACTCAACATCTGGTAGTATATTGGAAACCATTAATAAGTTGTAATATCTTTGCAGTCGCCTGAGCTCATGAAGAGAAAGAAGCTGGGTTATGATTATGCATTGAAAGCAATCATGCAGATCACATCCCCCTGCTTGCTGAAAGGATGGTATGCTGGGTTTTTTTCCAGGTGAAAAAGATTCCAGACAACCAAATACGAAAGTGTCATGAATCTTAACTGCTTATTTCAGACTCCTTTTATAGGCAGATGGACCCTTGGAAAAAAAAATAGCTGTAAGTTGGCAGCAGAAAGCTCGACTGCGTGAAGCAGAAAGCTTGACTGTGTGGGTTTTCTGAATATGCGTAATTCTGTCTCCAAGCTCAGTCAGGAAAGCTAGGGGACAGATGCCAGCAACGTTTTATCCTAGAAAGGGGGGGAAAAAAAAAAAAGAACCCAAAGAAGTGTGTGGGACGTTGTGGATTTTTTTTTCTTGAACAGCGTGATGTAGAAATGAGGATATGGAGCTGAGGAAGGGCTGACCTTCCGCCTGAACGCAGCAACGCACCCAGGTGTTGACAAGTATTTTGAAAATGGCCGTTGCAGTCGTTTTCATGCTTTGCAAATAAGCAGGGGGCTGAAATGACTACATTGAAGTGGATTTTTTCCAAGCACGACAAACCCAGGGAGAATTCACAGGGGGGCTGTGAGGAAGCGGTGGGTGCTGGCGTACAAAGGCTGCCTGTGAGAGCTTCGGGCTATACAGGACAGTTCTTTGATTATATAGGGAGGAGTCTTTTGGGA